GATGCTTATTTTTCAAATTCAGCAGGCTTACAATTCTTCACAGCTCTCTCTCTCTCTCTCTCTCTCTCTCTCTCTCTCTCTCTCTCTGTCCTCCCTCTCCACCTCCTATCACAAGGATTTGAGAGGGGAAGAAAGAGGGAAGGAGGGACGGGGGAATCCTCTTTTGAGGCAAACCTCGTCTGCAGTCCCTAACACGGAAACAGACAGAGCAGAGAAGGAGATTACTGCTACATGCCAGACAAGGTGCTGATACTGCGGCGCGTTAATCTTCAACAGATTGGGGCTGCACTCCTGCGTCTGGCTTTTTCATCTGTGTGGTGTCAGCTGGCGTGTGCGTCCTCCCGAAATACTCAGACTCTGAGCAAAGGTGGCAGTGGCACCCTTTCTCAGCTAGCGACGTTATTAAACCTCGGTAATCTCACTCCCCTGCGGAGCGATCGGAAGGGCCGGGTGGTCGAGGCGGTTAAGAGACGTCGTCCTTTAACTGGATGACCACCGTTAAAGCCCTCTGGTTGGCAAGCATCCACCCTGTGGGGAAATGTCCTTGAGTGAGACATTGAGTCCCTACAAGTCGTGTAGTTGACCTCCGACCTCCGTGGAGAACATTCCCGTGATATCAGCAAAGAGCTGTTTTGGTTTTAGTTCTGTTGGAGGACTTCGGTCTTGTAGAAATCATGCAAAGTGTTTTCCAGCTCTGGGAAAGCTTATTTAATTGGACGAACTGGCCTGTTTCCTGTCAGTACACCGAACATATTTAAATATTCGAATCAAGCAGAGTTTAAAAGTATTTATTATAAATCAAAGAATGGGAATATGACCAGTCGGATGTTCTTACATTTCCAGATATGGTATTCGTTGGCTCATTCTGATGACTCTGTGAAGACTCATTGCAGTGATATTCTGCATGGCTAATCATTACTTTTTGGGCAATGCGGTTGAGCAATGAAGGAAATAACGGGCGTTGTATTAATGTAGGAAGGCCACATGTTCAGTGATTTCACTGGTAGTGTCTCTTCACAGTGTGTCGACAGAACTGTGCCAACATACCGTCTTCCCTTCATAAAAACAATCTGATTTTAAACGTGTAAAGTCTTTGAGATTTGTCCAGATTATGTCCTCTAATACCGAGCCGTCCCTTTAGGAATTCCAGCTATGTGAGGCTGACCTTCCTCTGGTGGTCTCTGAAGGGGCCGAGACTGTGTCGAGCACACAAAGCAAAGCACTGATGTGACGCCCAGACGGAGGTTTTAAAAAGATGCCGAGATAGGATTGAGAAGCTGATCGCAGGTCTGGTCACGAGGGTTAATCCACCTCGAACTTTATCCCACCCGGAGGCTCGTTGAATTGTCTATATCCCACTTTCCAAATCTCGTTGCAGAGACTCAGAATGTGAAGTTAACGTAAGGGGTTTATCCTGACTGATGCCAGCTTTAAAAGGTATGCGAACACCAGACAGTCGACAGCTGTCACTGTGTTTTTGACAGGAATTTCTTCACATTAGTCACAAACGTCCACAAAGATTCAACGAAGAGCTGATTAGGTATTCAGTAAAAGAGAAGGAAGAGGTTTAAAGTGACAATCGGGAAGAGAAAGTAGAATTTTGTTCAAGGTTAATTAGTTCTATGTTCTCCGGGTAGATGCACCAGACAGACGAGGAAATAGAAAGAGAGGCAGGGGATGTAGTAGATAGTGATTTCTCTTGGTTTATTGCACCAAAGTGTACCGAGCAAACACACACACACTTCCTCACTAGCTCCCTGAGCGCTCACACTGGTTCCTTCAGTACCAGAAAGTCTCCGGTCTATTGTGGTTCAGTCAAAAGTCAACCGATGCGCAGCAACAATGGAGCTCACATCAGAGAGGAACAGAGAAGGTCACTGTTGGGAATGAGATCACTGTGTGTGTGTGTGTGTGTCTCTCTCTGTCTGGATCAAGGGACTGGTTGTCGTTTTTCTCTCGTAATCAATCGATAAATCGCTCTGCTGTCAATGTTGTATATGGTTGATTAGTCGATAGCTTAGCATTAAACTGGAAGCACTTCTACATTTGTGTTTGTGTACGGATTAAACAGACGGAGGTCAAACCTTTTAATCGGTGAGCTTTAGAGGTGCTAAGATAAGCTAATCGTCTAACTCTCGGCAAGAAAAGTAAAACGTGTGGGAATCGTAATCAAATATTTTTGTTCGTAAGTAAATGTGTAACGTCGTCATTGTACTGATTAAATAGTCTCTTTTTGGGAGCATTTATTCAGCCTACACACCTGAGATCAAGTTGAGATGTGTACATTAATCTAGACTTAAAACACCCACACAGATCAATGGAATTGATTATTTAACACTAATTAAATGCGTACAGTCGCGTCCTTCAGCTGGGCTTTGAAGTGAGGACAGACTTTTGACATTGAGTCGTATCTCCTCTGTAGTCTGAAGTATTTTGTAGTGAGTCAAGAGTCTTGCAGTTGAAGACTGAATCTTTGTGGTCAGAATAATTTGTCAGGGTTTGCTTTTGGGGCGGGGGTGAGGAAGACGAACAAACACACACACACCCAGAGGAAACGAGACGAGGGCGCTTGTTGAGCCGTGTGTGGATTCTTGTAAATTGTCCCAATGCTCATGTCTCATGTCTCGTTATCCTTTCCCTCTATTCATACTTGTCCGCTGGTTTTCTCTTTTTCTCCCCCGTCGCCTCCCTCATTTCTCTCTCCTCACTCCTAACCCTCTTTTCTTTTTTGTTGTCTGTGCCATATGTTTGCCTCACCCTCCGTTTTTTTTTTCTCCCCCTGGTCTGGGATCAGTGGCATCTAATGCTTTCCACTCTGCCTGATTAAGTCAGCACATGTACCCTCTTTACATTATCACTGGAGCGCACACACACACACACTCACACACCCCCATGCACAAGCGTCCCCACAGACCTAATCAGTCCTCCTAGTTCTCTCTTTCTCTCTCTGTCTCTCTCTCTCACCCTCACCACTTCCAGAATTAATGTAAAAACATGAGCTCTGTTAAAAACAGAAGGCGAGATGGACGGACGAGTTAGCCGCAGAAATAAAAGAGATGAATTGAAAACGGAGCAGTCGGTTCAGTATCTAATCAGCATTGGTGGTGTGGTGTAGGGAGGCAGTAGGGAGGAGGAGAGGGGAGAATTAGAGATGTTTTGCTAACTATACCAGTCTAGGAAATGCCTCCGATGCGACCTTAAATGCTGGATCGAGTATCAGCCAATATGTGAGTCCATGCACCAATCCAACATCACGTTATAATATAATTTATACTCAAACGACAGCAACACATGTCACTCGTCAACGTGTCCTCGTACAACAGTATGATATCCTGCGTTTTCCTGCAAAATCCAGCAACGCGTGTCAATTTCCGCTCGTTGCATGCGTGTAATCTTTTCTAAATAAACTTCCGACTTCACGGGAAACTCGGTGAGGATCAGGCGACAAAAGTACTTTGTTAGGTTTAGGATAAAAGATCGTAAGTGCCGTTACTGAAGTACGCAAGTTGCGTGACAAAAACATCAACATTGACTTGGCTAAATAACGGAGGTTGCATGGAGTTACATTATGATGCGTTCAAGCTCTATTGTATAGATATTGGAGAGTGAATTATGACCTCACTAGCTACATATGCAGCCTATGATTTACATCATTTAAACTGCTAATGCCAAGAATGATTTTTAATCAAAGCAAGTCTTTGGTTTTCTTGGTATTGGAGCATCTCTAGTTAAGGTCAGCACGGCTGTTATTAAAAGGACTCATTCAACATTCATAACGCTGGAACGATTCCCAAAAGCCGTGAAATCCTCTCACTCTGTCGCTCACACCACTAAATGGAAGCATTGTGCTGTAATGCATATTGTACATGACACTCATTTATATTGAATAAATAGTGTGTGTGTGTGTGTGTGTGTGTGTGTGTGTGTGTGTGTGTGTGTG